TTCTAGCTCGCTGCTTCTTTCTGGGAACGACGGTTTAGGGCTTAGGGCCTAGAGCGTTTAGGGCTTAGGGCTTAGAGCGTTTAGGGTTTAGGGTTTAGGGCTTAGGGTTTAGGGTTGGGGGGTTTAGGGTTTAGAGTTGAGGGTTCAACGACCAGGGTTTAGGGTTTAGGGTTCAGGGAGTAGGGTTTAGGCTTGGAGGGTTTAGGGGTGGGTCAAGGGTTGGGGGAGATTTTGCGAGGGTTCTATGAAGTGCTTTGGAAGGCTTTTTGGCTGTTGCAAGGCTGTATGGAGGGGTGTGATACGAGTATGACGCAGATTTCTGACGGTTCTGCTGCAAGTCTTTGCATGCGTTCGCAGAGAGCATAGCTCTAAGAAAGCATTCGTAAATGTAAATCAAAGGCCCGACGGAATCTTGAGCAATGTTTCTTACATAAAGGGTGCTGGGCTCTGCTTGAGGTTTCGGGTGTAGCCGTAAATCGCGGATCTACAGAGGTTGATGAATGAATGTATTCCGGTCATGGTCCAGCTCGTCGCAATTAGGCACCAGCATACCGGCAGATGCCATCCGAAATGGAACTATATGACCTAGGCTGAGGCACTCACTTGAGGGTACAAACCCTGAACTGTGAGATTTGGGAAGCCGCAAGCAAGAAAAAATAACTGCAGGCGGTCCCGTCTGCTTAGGCTTTGAGGTGTAGCGCACCATGATTGTATAGGGGCTCTATAAGAGAATATGAGTAGCAAAAACTCCGACCCTTAAGCCATCTTCCGCATATCTGCCTGCACGGTCACAAGCTGCCAGCGTGGCGCCGTAGTGGAAAACCTTTGGAAGACGCCCATCATCTTAGGGGCGGTAGTGAATTTCGGCCTCATATAGGTGCCTGACTGCGTAGAATAGGGTGTCTGGGGTACATTTGGTAGAAGGGTACATAAGCTTCTCATCATACCGATACTTACTTCCCCAATAAGCCAGGGAAACACGAGGTTATTACTACTAAACCTTAAGAATAAAGTTTGAAGGTGGGGGGTATCGGGGAGCTAAGTATAGCTACGCAAAAAAGGCAGCAGATCTGCTGAGCACCGCACATTGACGTCGACTCCTTCGTCCAAGAGAACTTCCTGAGCTCAATGTTCCCCAAGACCCTCACTCTGTTCTTCGGTTTAGGGTCTATGGTTTGGGGGTTACGGTTTAGGGTTTGGGGCCGAAAAAATTTCAAACTTTCGAGGACAGACACAATATATAAGGCCAAAAAGCTTAAAGTTCTCCCGCTGGCTAGCTAAACCCTAAACCCAAGCCTCGGCTTGTGCTCACGGTTCTTGTGAGGAAACTCATGGCTTGCTGTCTCAAACGCTTTGCATGGATTTAGAAGGTCTTATAAGCGTGTCAAGCAGCTCGTTTAAGCTCTATAAGTCCTACTTAGCAAGAACCCAGCACTGCGTGGTTGGTATGAAGCCCTAAACACGAAACCCTGAACACATTGGGGCTGTTGAATGAGAAGGGCTCCACTAGCTGCTTGGTTTCAGGAGCTGGGCCACCGGATCCTTCCGCTGTTGTGTGAGCATGAAACTCCTCTTCGGAGAACTGCTTCAACATCTTCCAGAGGGTTCAGGGTTTAGGGTTTAGGGTTTGGCGTTTAGGGTCATGATGAACAAGGAAGTCTTCTGCAACACCTTGTTCCTGCGGGGTCAGGAACTGAGGGTGCTCCTGCTTGACCATGAACGTCGCCGTCGCCAAGCCCCTGAACCCTAAACCCTAAATCCTAAAACCCTAAACCCTAAAACCCTAAACAGTTTCTCCTTCTTCGAGCTTCGTAGGCCTCTTTCACCTCTGGGCGTTCCGCGAGGTGTGTCTGGTGTCCGGCCCAAACCAGCAAGTGCCTGTGGTTTGGAGTTCAGGGGTTCAGTGTCCATAGGGTTTATAGGGTTTAGGGTTTAGGGTTTAGGGTCCAGGGTTTAGGGTTTAGGGTTTAGGGTTCAGGGATTCAGGGTTTAGGGTTTTGTGATTTTATGGTTAAGGCAGCAGCTCCCTCCGGATCTCTGTTGCTCGTCGAGAGCCTGGACTTTCGCCGCAAGCTTCAGCTTGCGCCCAACGTGGCCAAGTTCTTGGCCTTCAGGCCGATCTTCAAGATCGGTGTCTAGGAGCCAGGGGTCTAGGGGGTTAGGGGTTGGTTTAGGGTTTTTTGGCTTCAGGGCTTAGGGTTTTAGGGTTTATTGCAGGCTGTCATCTGCAGGATCCTACAATTCAGTAGCAGCCCGCATCTTCCGAAACTGCACTTGGCCAAGCTACCGAAGGGAACCCCAACTGAAGGCACTCCCCAAACCCCGGACCCTCATCTAGTGGCCGGAACATGTCGGAATCATCATTAAGAGAAAAACATGTCATCTATTATGATCGCATTTGACACGGCAAGGGGGGGCATTATTTTTCAAGGTTGACGAAAGGGAAGCAAAACGAACCCATCTCGAACAATTCTTTCGGTTGCGGTAGTCCATAAGGGAACCCATGTTGATAAAATGGGCTTTGGGTTCAGGGTCGACAATGATCTTTGAAAGAGGAATTTAGGAACTTCGGGTATGAGCACATCTTGAAAAGGAGGCTAAGGGTTTAGGACGGAAGGCTTTTAGGATAAACGGTTCCCTAAAGCCTAAACCCCAAACCCCGAACCTTACCCTCCCCGTCGATGCGACTGTCCAGGATATGTTACGGTCTTTAGGAGCCCATTGCGAAACGCGACGTAGGCTAACTCGAACATTGAGGGCAGGAAGTTGTCGAGAATAGTTTCGGCCGTTTGCGTAGGGTTTTTCGGTTGGCAGAGGGCAGAAGACTCCAAGCCACAAATCGCCGAGTTTGGTGCCCCTGAACCCTAATCAGCAGCCAGGCTACAAGAAGTTGCAGGCACGTCGCCGGACACTTTGCCTGCCCAGTGCTCAAGGTGAGATCCTAAACGT